CCTATCAAACCCCCCGGTTTTCCTAGAAAATTTGTTCGCGCATGAAGTTTCATTTAAGACACAAGTATACATTCCCTCCGAATTCCCTAACAATGTAAAAGTGAGAACAACGCAATGACTCCAGAAGAATTTCGTTGATGTTACGAAACGTGCATCCAACTGTATCTAAACTCCCCAAACGAGAGTTTGAGAACACATCCTTAAAAGTTTTCAGAGGGAGGGGGGGATCGATACCCACGCTTTTCGGATACAACAGTTTTGCAACATTACAGTGTTATCCCCACGTAATATGATCCTAATGATGCATTATTTTCCCCTCAACTCAGGCTCCTCCCCCGCCCCCTTCGGTCGGAAACTTGTAAAGTTGCGTGATGTACAGAGCAAAAGCAACTGGATATTACAAACCAGGAACTCCACTCTTCATCCCCACAATTCCCCCGAAAACCACGTTTTTTACCTCATTTCTGCGAGGGGTAAAATTGCGTGGTACCGTGGGCAATCAGAGTGCAGTACTACTGACATCTCAAAGTTGGGATTCTCCCTTGTGAAGAGAGGACTGAGCCGTCGCTGCTGAGAGGACCTAAAAGGGATTTCACTGGTTTTGAATCGAAATGAAACCCGCTTACATCAATGGTTACTGCATATGTAAAGCGTATTAGTTTTGTGGGGCTTTTTATTGTGTGTAGTTTAGGATTACTTTACAATTATTCTGATTACTCAGACACAGATTTTAACTGTTTATTTATACATTCATTTATTTGTTTATTTATTTTGTGAGGCCTCAAGAGTAAAAAAACTACAAAAAATGTTACAAAAATTTTACATGAATAATTCTCACCCAAAAATGGATTAAAAAATCTGAAAGGTTTCATGAAAAATTCGTTATTTTTCTAGGAACTGGATGAAACTACTTGAAGATACTCGGGAGAGCATGAAAAATATTCACAAATAAGAGATGGTTGGTAGATGTTGGCGCCGCCATCTTGATAACCCCTCCCTCTGTTGCAGTGGGCTTTGACGATGGCGGTGCCTCCACCTCGTATTTTTAAACATTTCCTAAAATTATTCGTCTTTATCAGATCACTCTCAACTCATTTCATTGGGTTTCTGTGAAATGAATCATTCTGAAAAAAATTTTTTCTTATTTTTGCATTCCTCTTTTGCTGAGAAGTCTTGCCGCAAAGTTTTCCCCCCATTTCAATAATTTTTTTGTTTCCATTCCAAGGCCCAACAATACGAGGCTAATTACGGAGTGAGCTTATTTGAATAATATTCAATGCAATAATGCTGACGAGGAAGTGTAATTCAAGATGTAGATCAACAGATGAAATATTTACGCATACCATTCGTAAAATCATCTCGACGACTTTATGAAGTCAATAATTATAACGAAAACCCCATAGATCCCCCATACATCAACTCTTGACCATCAGAAAAAAAGGCTGACTCTCCCGAATGAACGGTATCCAATTTAGAATTCGATTTCCAGTTCCGTCAAGGGCTTCTCGTTTAGCTTAGTATATGGTAATCTCATTGAACATAGTTTCTAACTTTGGCTTCGCACCGCTAGTAGCCCAGGATATTGGCTGACAAGGACAAACCGTGTTTGTAATGGAGATCCCAAGGCTTCATACAGTTTGATCCTCCAGCTCTATCCTGGAGGTACTTGCCAGTCGCATCCCCACCCAGTTTAGGTGTGTGTACCTAAACGTAGTAGCCTCGTAGACCAAGGCTGTTCATTCTACGTGCCTTTGTGCGCAAGACTAAACCTCCCTCCCACTTTCTGTGTGCCAACATCCTCCAGTTTCTGTCTATATGGAGCCAATAGACTATCTCACCTGGTTCTTACTGAAATTAACGCCTTGAGAGATGGGTAAAAGGTTGGATGAAATACCAAGGGCTAATTTACTGATCAGAATATTTCTTGATTTTCGTTCTCCCTTTTGCCATTATTTATACTAAATTATGTGTAAAGTCGAAGTAAAACATTGCAATTTGTTTTCTTTTTTTATAATGAAGAAAATAATGGAAAAATAACAATTTTAAAGTAATAATTAATTATTTATTCATGTTAAGTGAATGAAGCGATAAAATTGTAGAGATTCTCGAATTTTCAAAAAAAAAAAATTAATTTCAATACTTTCTTTATGAAAAAAATATAAAAATTATGAATATGTTGAAAATTATTCAGAATCCATCGAGATGAACAAAATAAGATATAATTTGTCTCCACGACTACGAAATTGAAAAATCCCAAGAATCATAGATTCAACTCTTTAAAATTTACATCTCCGTCCAGATATTTTTTATTCATCAATAAAAGAACCATTGTAATGAATTATATAGACAATTATCTTTTAATAATAAGCGCATTCCCCTGGAATTACCCCCACTAAATTTAAATTGTGCGGCACTCACTGCATCCGGAGTCTTTTCTTGTAATGAAGAAAATGATTGACACATGCGAATTGAAAATTAATTATTAATTATTTATGTTAAATGACTGAAATGATAAAATTGTAGAGATTCTAGAGTTTTCAAAGTCAAAAAATGAATTTCAATAATTTCTTCCTGAAAAAAAAACAAAAATCATAAATTTTTGACATGTAAATGTTTCACGAGAACAACTACCACAACGAAAATTATCCTGTTGTGGTGGAAAATTTTTTTTAGTCCACAAGTGAATTGATTCACCACGACAAAAGACCTCTTCAGAGGAACATATAATTTTTCTGCAGAACTAATTTGTTCTCTCAGTGTATCTCCTAATAATGAATTCCCCTCGAATTACCCCTCACTAAATTTAAATTGTCGGTACTTACCGCATCCACTGGACCATAGAGTCTCACCTGTCTCACTCGCCCCTTGGATGCCAACCGCCCACTGCCCACTCCGTATTTACAGGATATACTCACCCCTCAAGCCCCCGAAACAAATGGAGCACGACTGCCGTGAATACGTGGATATATCACCCCGAACTACCCCCAGAAAACCCGATATTCAGACTGACGTGTCTGGAGGCTAAGGAAAAGAAAAATAAAGAAAAAAACGGGGGGGGGGAGGGAACAGCAAAAAAAGAGGAAATAAATGGCCAACCGGTCCGCGGTAATACGACAACGAGACACACTCCTCCCCCCTTCATCCATGTTGGATTAAATTGGATTATCTTATTCTCGAAAATTTTCAACTCCAAGTGGAACTGTAAAAATACAAGAGAACGTGACATAATTGTTCCCTTTTTTTTTACAAAGTCATTTCTCATTTGAAAAGTTTCAGGTATTCAACGGAGAAGGACAAGTTGAAACGAGTGGATTTAATTTACATAGCAAAAGAGTTTAAAAGGCCAGATATCGTTTCAACCATTTTGTACTTCTGGTGCTACTGAGGGTATAAAGATGCTTCAGGAAAGGATGAAATTGTAAAAGAAATGGAGAGGAGAATGCACTGGTGGTCACGACTTCTCTCATAATACGATTAGATGAACTTTACGAGTTGAGGCCCAAAGTCGTAACAGTAGGTACATCCGATGGCAAGTGAATATAGTGAAAAATCGTGTCTAGTGGGTGTAATTCTTCGGCGGAGTGGAGGATCACGATTTGTCGGTTCGTGACGGAAAAAAGACATTTCAGTTGTTTCAGTAGATTTTTTTTCCTGGTCGCTAGGGATATTTTATGCCATCTAGTAATTTATTAGATCTAATAATCGAGTAATTGCGTCTGACTTGTATTTTCAACTTAATTGTAATCTTTTTTTACACGGAGAGAAATATTGAATAAAAATTACGTATCTTTTCCGTAATTCCGGAGCGAAATGTGGTTGTAGGAAATTTTACGCAACTGTCACGTAACTTTTACTTAAAAACACGAAATTTTTCCAGAGCGTTTCGTACTTTTTATCTGAATTTCCAGTGAAAAATTACGATACAGTCACTTAAATTTTCTGAGTCGATTCCGTAATCGGTGAGCGAACTGTGAGTTCCGTAATTTTTACTGGGAATTTCTCTCCGTGTAGCCTGCAATTGTCTTGTCTCACGAGATTATTAATAAAAATGATAATAATAATAAAATAATTAAAAGACCTTGAGAATAAAAAGTGGATGGAAAAATCTGAAAGATGGCTCAATAAATACGAGATGTCGGCGCCGCCATTTTGCTTAGATACCCCCTCCCTCTGTCGCACGGGGTGGGAGTACCCAAGATGGCGGCGCTCGCACGTATCACCATGCGCGTATCATCTCGCATTTTTAAACACATTTGAAAATAATTTTTCCTCTTGAAATCACCTTCAACTCGTTTTACTCAGTTCCTAAGAAACGAACAAATTTTTCAAGCAATCCCTCAGTTTTTCATTCCCTTTCAACTGAGAAGTCATAACGCGAAGTTTTTCTCCAATTCAGTAGTTTTTATACTCTCAAACTTTAAAAATTCATTCCATACTTCATTTTGTTTCAAAAGAAAAAGTAAACTTGAAACCTATTTACCTCCTCCTCCAGATTCATAATAATTCATCCTCCCGTGACTGATTGCACAATTTTTTCCTCAAAACCCGTCACATGTAGTAATGGGATAGCAGCGAGAAAAATTTAACGACGTAATACATCTGGTGGCTGAGAATGTTGGTGATACTGGTGGCGTCAAATTACAAATGAATGTTCCGGACGATGGATATTCGCGAATGGTTTCCATTATTCCTGGAGAAATAGGGAAAAGGGCTCTCCCCCACTTTTGCGAGTCTATAATAAGTTTTCAAAAGATAGTGGTAAGTAGGCAACTTATCTCGGGTGTGGTGTGATGAATAGCAGAAGTTTTATCCCCTACTTATCGCTTGGCTCCGCAAGAGGTTGAGTCCTGGCAGGAGATTTTTTTTCACACCAACGGAAAAGTGTAATTTAGACGTATTGATTTGAGGAGTTTATGCTGATGATTCTATCACGCTGACCTGGATGCACTGTCAGCCCTTCAGGTTCCCAGGCATAGAGTTAATGAATAATAACAAATTTGATATTGACAATAGGTATTTATTACGATCTTTAACAATTTTCGAATCAATGAATAATCAAAAAAAAGCATAATGAGAACATCAATAGATGAAACAGAATTATACATTCAAATATTAGAGTAACCGGTACAGAATTCATATAAACGTAGACTTATACCTACGGAAGAGTGTATTCATTAATTACAACAATGGTAATCACCTAGGCCCTATGTAAAAAATACTCATTTGTCATTCGTGCCTCTCGTGTTTCCACCGCGGAACGAAAATTTAAAAAAAAACATCATAAAGAGTACAAACTGCATCAGTACCACTCCATCCTGACCATTAAATAATTACCAGAGTGAGAGTACAAAAGAAAAAATTGAACACGTAATTACCAAAGATCGTGAAAAGAGAAAGAAAAAAATGTGGAAAATTGAGAGGAGCACTCAAGGAATATTGTTTCCCTCCGGACTTTTACTCATCTGCAATCTCTGTCGCGTCAAACTAACAAGATCTTTCTTCTGAACGCTAATGAATTGAATATTCTGCGAATTTTTACCCCCGAGAATGCGATAAGGCCTGTCAGGCCCCCCTTCCAAATCAATTTTCGATAATACAACATTATCAGTTCTCTTTTTCGTCAGATCCATGGCATTTTCAGGCGCTGATGAATCAGCATTTGACATATATTTATCGGAATTGATGAAGGAAGTTTCCATAGAGACAACCCCCGCTGATTGCCCCTGAACTTTTGACCCAACCATAACCCTCTCACCTCCACCACTTGAATTTGTATCCGATGAATTCCAATTATCCTGTTTTCCCGCGACCGTTTCATTTTTAGCATGTGCATTGCGTAGATGAGTGAGCAGTGAATATTCATTGGCAAATTGAATTCTACAACTCTTGCAGTAATAAAACAATGCTGGTGGTTCAGAATCTATTCGGCTATTCACTTGATAAGTCGAGTGATTTTTCATGCCAGCGACATTTTGATAATTCGATTGAACCTCAGGATCATACTGTGTATTTGGTTTGTAAGGAGCCAGACGAATGCCATGAGCTGTTGCAAAATGTTTCACCAAAAACTCGACGTCGATGGACTCGACGTGACAAATATTGCAGACAATTGGACAGATGTTGGGTGCGACTTGTGTCGGACGATGAGCTGTCGGCTGAACTCTGGCTTGGGCGACAGTCGGCTTTACCGCTGCACTGAGAGGTGTCACCGTTTGTGTCGGTGCTGATTCCACAGGATTCTTGACCACTCGTGGATCAGCTACATCTTCCTCCTCGTCCTCAGTCAGGTCCACCTCAATTGTCTGCTTGTTCGCTTGTTCCTGTGCGACACTTTCCAAATTCCCTCCCGCTTTGTCCACAACTTCACTCTCAACAATAGTCACATCATCGTCATCGGATATCTTCATATGAAGATCACTGTGAATGTGCGCAAAGTGCATGTGCTTGGAATTCCTCGTGGCAAATGCTTCGTCACACTGTTCGCAGTAGTACAACGGAACAACGCCATTCTTCTTCTTATGATGCTTCCTGATGTGTGACCGAAAGACCCTTAACCACTTGAATCTTCTCCCGCAAACCTCACAGACGTAGTCACCAGAGTTTGAGTATCTTATCAGATGATTCTGGAGGGTCTTGCCGCAAGTGAAGACAAGGTGACAGATCTCGCATTTCAGTGGGATCTCCGCTGTCTCATTCCCCTCGCTATTCTTCGTGGTTACGTCCTGTGGCTGATTATTCGCCAATTTCTCGTACTCGTCCAATCCGACTGAGTAAATATTGGTGATTGAGAAGTTGCAGGGATCCTTGTCGGTGGAATAACTGTGGACAGCACCTGAGTCCTGGGACGGGATGCAGGGGAGATGAGCCGTCTCGAGGGATTGACCGATGAAATCATTCAGCGGCATTTTTGGTAATTGTTGAGGTTCTGTGATAAACTCATGCCCCTTTGACGAAAGATTCAGCTGGACGTTGGAGTAATTCAAGCTGTCTTCATATACGTAGTTAACGGGTCCATGAGTGATCTTGTGACTCTTCAACTCCTGGCTCGAGGTGAACTTTTCATCGCAAATGGCACAATTGAACTCAATGTTGGCGGTCTGGACCTCCGGGATGCTCAGATCATCGTCCTCGTCCAACAGGACTACATCCTCTTCAAGGCTCACAGTCGACTGGTTCGAATGTCCTCCGATTCTGTGACTCTCTCCTGACTCACGGGTCAATTCGTTGAGTGTACAAACGTTCTCCAGACAGAACTCCGAGGGCTGATTCGTTGGATTCGCGTGGGCATGTTTGATGTGAGAGATCCAAGAGGTTTTCGATGATATTCCCTCCCCGCAAATTGGGCATTTGGCATGGAAAGCGTCTGTACGACTTGAGTGCGATGCTCTGAGATGGCATTCGAGTATCGATATAGATCTACACTTCCTCTCACACTTGTCGCACTGGTACTTTCCGTCGTTAGAGTAGAAATTCTGGTGCTGATCCAGCAGTTTGATGCTCGCGAATCTTTGCTCACAAGTGGCACAGACAAACGGATCATCGGTGTTCACTAGATGACCTCCATTGATTGCAGCATCATTAGCGAGATCGTGAACGTGAAACATGTGAGCGTGTAGGTGTGACTGATACATGAAGCCCTCATTACAGATCGGGCAATGATGAGTGTAAGCTTGCTGCATCTCCTTCGAGTAGTGCTCGGTCTTCAAATGGAAATGACAACGAAATTTTCCAACGAATCGACTGTCACAGATGTTGCAATTGTACATCTCATCGTCCAAGTAGTACAAACTGTGCTCGATGAATCTTCTTCGATTCTGAAATATGAGTTTGCAGACTTTACACTTCATTTCGTAAACGGTAGTAGGCTGTCTCCACTCCTCGATGCCTTTAGATATCTGATCGTAATGGATGTGCAGGAGGTGAGCACGCAGATTACTTTTTTTAGCGAATCCCTGGTCACAAACAGGACACCTAATTTTGGATGTGCCTGCGTCGGGAAAGTGGGTCATCTTCTTGTGGCTGGAGAGGAGATTTCTAGATGGAAACAGTGTTCCACATATGTCGCATCGACTGAACTGTTTCGGTGTAAATTTCCTTTTGTGTTCTGCCAAATTGGCAGCCGTCTGAAAGTGGTTGTTACAGGTGGAACAGGAGTTTCCAAGGACTGCTGAAGTTACTTTCTTGTTCCACCAGTGATTCTCTGGTGGCACTGAGGGTTGCTCGTGAATCTTCATTGGAGGTAAAGACCATGTGGCGTTATGTGACTCAACGCGACTGACTTCCGCGACAACTGGATCGGTCTTGTCCTGATGAACAGTCTTCTCCTCCTGACAATCACCCTTGGCAGATTGTATATCACTAGTTTTGCGCTCAAGTTTCCTCGGGGAGGTTCTTCTAACAATTGCATTGTTACAAACAATAGCATTTTCCTTTTTCTCAGGTATTTTCTTAATCTCTGATTGAGTAAATCTACAGAACTCTTGATGTTTGGTCAAGCAAGACCTCAGCCAGAATCGCTTCTTACAGCCGTGGCACAAATGCTTCTTCCGATACTTCTCGCACGGCCCCTTGGGATCAATCGGCGATCGATCCTGCTTAGACTGGATGATCTTGACACAATGAAGCAACAAATGATTCTTCAATTTTCGAGAATTACCACAGCGTATTCTGCATACCCCACACTCGTCCTGACTCGAGTTAGTGTGAAAGCACAGATAATGATTGATTAGCTTCTGCTTCGTTGTGAATCTCGTGCGACAGACGCTCGATCTGTATATCTCGGTCTTAGATTTCATCGAGTCACCTGTTTTCTCAATTTTCACTGGAGACTCATCTGGGCAGGGGGAATGCGGTACCTCGAGTTTCTTCAGAGCGATCTCCAGATTCTTAAGCTGAAGATCGATCGATGTGCCCTCGATTTGAGACAGCAGTTCTGGGGACTCATTTACTTCAGTCTCGAGTGTTTCAATTCTCGTCAGAGACACATAACACTCTCGACAGTTATAACGCGTCTGTAGGAGCTTCACCTTTCGAGTGGCTAGTATCATCGGAGTGCCCTTCCTCTTCGGAGTTTGCTGAGGCAACGAGGGTCTCTTCAACGGCGTCTTAGCTTTTACTTCAGTCTTTGAATCCAATTCCTGAGGTTTCTCCTCTACTACATCGGGTCTTGCCCTAGCTCTACCTGACCTCAAACACGTGAGTTCCACCACTTCTGGCAACTTTTGGGCCTCGTCAAGTTTTGTCTTCTTCATGGGACTGCCCTCGTAATCACTCAAGAGGGCCTCAACCTCCTGAGGTACCGCATGGATCTGAACGAAGGGAGCATTGGCACTGGAGGTATTGGCGCTAGAACTGCTAGATTGGGGCGGTGGATTTGACCTGGGGGATTTCGAGGATTTCGGCCCTGGCCGATTTGTCGAGCGCCTTCGCGCGGTTGAGGGCTTCGGGAGGCTCTCACTACGCTCCAGTGCCAATTGGTCTCTCCTTTGCTTGCGCTCGCTCCTAGCTGACGCGATTTGAATATTACTAGCTACTGATGGCCTTGCGACCTTTCTAACCCGACGCTTCACCGGTTTATCGTCATTTGCTAGGTCGTGGTAGTGGAACAGGTGCATTTGCAGGGACATTTTGCTCGAGTACGAGAGGGGACAGTGGTCGCATTTGTAAGGTGCCTCCGGCCAGGCGATGTGACGGTGGGAGGACTTTCTGTGAGATAGCAATTGGTGAGGGGTTTCTACGGCTTTCCTACAAACGTGACAGACTATTCGCTTTTGGGCACCGCGGAAGAAGCTCAGGTGCTTTGAGAGACCGCTGCGGTCATTGTACTGCGCGTAACAAACGGGACATTCGTACGCCAAGGATGCGGATATCGCGAGGGACCTAGTGCGGAGTCTACTTTCTCGGAGTTTACTTCGGTTGTTTAGGAGAAATCGCGCTAGTTGGCGACTTCGCCTGGGATTTTTGGCAATTCTGAAAGGATCTGATGACCGGGGTTTTTGGGATTTAGAGGAATTTAAGCTAGAACTTGCCGAGGAGTCGTAGTCTGGTGGCGCTGGTGAGTCAAGCGGGTCCTGTGGTGGCGCTAGTGACGCGAGCGGATCCTCTGGTGGCGCTGGTGAGTCGAGCGGGTCCTGTGGTGGCGCTGGTGAGTCGAACGGATCTTGTGGTGGTGCTGGTGAGTCGAGGGGGTCTGGTCGTGACTCCGGCGGATCTGGCGATTCTGTAGCGCTTGTGGAGTCTGGGGGGTTGTAGGGAGGCTCAGGGAAGTCTGGGACCGACTCCATCAGCGGACTGCTTGGCTCGGCTTTTATCGGGAGCTCCAGGGGGTCCACCTGATATTTCAGAGAACATTTTGGGGGTTATGAAGGGACTGGTAATTTCGGACGAACGAAAAATTGGGGGAAGATATGAAGCTGGAACTTTGATTTATGCGAATCTAGGGGTTTTCAAATATTTTTGAGTCATGTATAAATTGGGTCCCAGGTGAAAAATATTTGAAGGGGGGAGAGGGGTAAAATGAAACAGCCGACAAACGACTATTTGACGCAATTTAAGAAAAAAAAAAGTTTTTTATCAACTTTTTATTATTATTGGGAGTACTGATGAGAATATTAATTTTCTATTCGTATTATACTTCAGTTGATTATAATTCAATTGATTAGATTAGGCCGATTACACTTTAATTTTTTCATTCGATTGAAATTCAGCATCACATTTCTTTTTCCCCTTCTGGGTCTCCCCCTGGGGCTTTCTCTGGACTTAGGATTTTGCTGTGTCATTTTCTCTACTAAATGGAAAATTATTATTCTCATCAGTACTCCCAAGAATAAAAAAGTTAATAAACAAAAGCTGATGGAAGAAAAAAATTTAATAAATTTTTTTTTTGCTTGAATTGCGTCAAACAGTCGTTTTTCGACTGTTTCATTTTAGCACCCTTACAAAACCCCTGAATTGAATCTTGAGCTGGTGAATATTCTGCTAGTTTCAACTTCACAGTGAAGACTCAATCGTAAAATCAAGAGTTTAATGGACTTCAAGAAGAACTTTCATTCGTTTGAACTATTAAAAAGTTTTTCATACTGAATGAAAGCTTTATCAATCTCTGCCACACATGCTCATGATAATTTTTCCCATGAATTATTGAATGAGTCTGTCTTTTCTTCAGAGAGAAAATATAAACTACAGTTGAATGAATATAAAATACAAAATATTTAATTTCTGATAAATTCAACAATCGATGAATAAGATTTTCATTCTAAAACCGAGAGAGAGAGGAATGGAAAAAATAATTAATCAATTTATTAATTTTTCCCATGAACTTAGAGAATGATTCTCAACTTTTTTTCTACAAGAAAGTACAAACTGCTATTGATTGATTCACTTGTGATAGTTTTACCAATCAAACAATGAGATTTTTGTTATAAAAACTGAGGGAAAGGAATGTTAGTAACATGTTAGTAACACTGGAAGGAATAAAATCAAAGAATTTAGCTTTCCATTGGTATCTGCTCCTTTCAAACCTTTCTGAATAAAAAAGAGAAACAAATATATTCATGAAGACTTTTTTGTAGGTCTCTACTTCTCCTCTGAAAAAGAATTTACAAGGAATCCTCCATCCCTCATAGACTTTTGGATATTTGAGATAAAAACTGCAATATTCAATTAGAGGGCCAATAACTTTTCCTCATTTGAAATATAGTGCAAAAAACGGTTCATCAACCTTTGGATCATATCAACATAATTTCTCCGATGAAATTATAAAATAATTTGCATTTTTCATTTCAGAGGGAAATAGAACTATTATTAATTCAATGTAAACTATCTTTCTACGTCAAATAATAACGTCTACGTGAACATTTCATTTTTAATAATTTCAAACAATCAAGAAATACGATTCTAATTTCAAAACCGAGACGAATTCAAACATTGATAATATAATCAGAAAAGTAAATTTGTCATCACTACCATTTTTGGAAATATCTCCAAATCAAGAAAAGATACAAAAATATTTTTAGAACATTTTTCATTCCTCTCTTTCTCTACAGAACGACTTCCTGTTTCTCTTGCACTCCACAATATTCAGAAAAAAAATTCACACGAAATTAACAAAATCTGTACAGTTCAATGACTTCCAGAAGATTAAGAAGACTTTCACCCATTGAAAACAGAAAAGAAAGCCTTTTTTCTAAAAAAAAAATACCTCATCAACATCTCCATCACACCCTCACCATAAATTCCTCCATGAAATAATCAATAAACCCCAATTTTCATCCTCAAATGATCAGCAAAAACTCACATGCATTCAAGTGCCATAAAAAAGACTTTCGCCCATTCAAAACCGAAATGAAACCCTCTTTGCTCCAAAAAATTACATTATCATCACCTCCATCACACCTTCAACACAAATTTCCCCGTGAAATCCTCAATCAATCCCAATTTTCATCGTCAAAAAAACAGAAAACTCTTCCCAACTAACTGTATAAAAAAGAATTATCAATATCTCCCTTGAATTCCAAAATATTCATGAAAAACATCCAACCAACAAAATTCACACTTCAATGAATTCCTGAAGCCTAAAACGGCCTTCCACTCATTCAAAACAGAAAAGAAAGCTTCTTCCCTCCAAAAAAACCATTATCAACATCTCCATTACATCCTCACCATAAACTCCCCCACAAAATTCTCAAATAACCCCAAATTTCGTCATCAAAAGGCCCGACAAATTTCACAAAAAAATTATGAACATTCCAAATGATCCGCAAAAACTCAAATGCATTCAAGCGCCATAAAAAGCACTTTCGCCCATTCAAAACCGAAATGCTCCAAAAAATCAGCACCCACTGTTTTTACTTTTATATTCTGCACAAATATGCAGAATATAAAAAACGAAAAAGCCTGTTTTTTTGTTTGGCTCTTTGCTCCAAAAAATTACATTATCACCACCTCCATCACAAATTTCCCCGTGAAATCCTCAATCAATCCCAACTTCCATCCTCAAAAGAACCCAAACCCTCCCCAAAAAATGCGTCAAAAAAATGATCAACAAACCTCATCATTCGGTGGATCCACATGTAGGAGATTCGAGGAGCCCCTGTAGACCATTGCCCGAGCCATTTTCCCAATTGTTCAATCACATAAACCGTTAATTATTTCAAATCCCTCGATATTCGACGGTTTTGTCAACGACTAATGATTCTAGGTTATGCCTGACGCTGGGCGTCCGTACGTCTCCAGTACGTATCTCTCATCACCTCCGATATCTCGCGCATCGAAACAATTATCACGAGATTATTAGTCCAATTAGATTGACAACAGCAGCACCAAATTTTTCGTTAATCACAATGTCTGGGATGGTTGTTTATTCTGATTGTGTGCATGACGGTTATGTATGACACAGACGCTGGTCATGTACCCATGTGAGCGACAGACCAATCACCTTGAACAACGTGACCTGTCCGTCACTTATTCAGTATTTTCTGATATTTATTTCTTGTTGCTGTACTTTATCACGAGTTTATTGTTGAGAAGGGATGTGCATTGATCGGGGTAAACAACTGTTGATTTGTTGTCATTTTCTTTGTGACGAGGAGACAATGGAGGAGACACTGGAGTTGATGGAATTTTCTGGAGGCTTATTAATTTATTGACGGGGTGGGCGGGAGGGTTACCCGATGGTTTTGCTCGGTGGAGAATTTTTCGGGGGGTTTTTGAGGTGCGAGGGCGGTTTCAGGGGTTTTATTGTGGATTTTACGGGTTTGGCGGGTTATCGACGGAGGCTGAATTGACGGGTGGCGCCATCTTACTACTGAAAATATTGACGGGTTTCAGTATTTCGAACTGAAACGAATTGGGGGAATTCTTCTCAAATAATTTTTTGCTTCCGAATGGAAGCATTGTAATCATTCAAATTCAAGTTTTGGATTTTTTGTGTTATATCGACCCATTATGATCTAAAAAGTCCGAAAATGCATTGTTTAGATCGTGCACGTACGCATGTGTTTATGTAGAGCAGGGCGGGGTAAGATGGACACTTTTGATTTTTTTTGAAATGTTCATGAATTGGAATAATTTTATTTTTCAATTGAAAGAACAAGTATTCCCCTTTGTGATGAGCTTAGACTGAGTTCAGTTGATAAATCTGTTTCTGAGTTATGAATATTTTTATAAAAGTCAGTTTTCCCCGTATTTCTGTGAAAATTTCACAGAAATCGCCGGAAAATTTACCAGAAATACAAAAAAAAATTACTTTAACAGCACTAGAATTTTTCACAGCCAGTGGATTGTGATTTTTTCCAGTACTCGTACTAGAATTTTTCTAGAAAATTCATCTTCGTGTATTCTCGAATAAAGAATACTATACTTGAATCACGTATATTGTATTTTTGAATCAGGTTCATGCATACACTTGATTCTGGTATAAAATATATATTCAATTATACTTTTTTTCCTGATCGGAACATTCAAATACCCGAGATCGACATTAACTAACTCCCTCAAAAATGTAAATCGCCGTGGTATTGACGAAGTTCGAATGGTTCCCCTCGTCACGTACCGCACTCGCAATTGGAAATCGCAATTCCAGAAAGTTATCCAATATCCCCATCTACAATTCCATCTTGACAAGAAAAAATGAGGCATCGTAAAAAAATATTTTCCCTCCTCTCTCGAAACTTCATAAATTGAAAAGCAATTTACTGTTCCCGATTCCTGAACTAATAAACTCATCCCTGAAATTTCATTCAATTTTCTATTCAGAATCACTCGGCGCCTATGGCTCAAGGTTATTAGCGTCTGTTGATTAACTGCAGCGGAGGTGTTGGACCGGCGGATGGTTCGTGCTGAACGAGGATTTCAACGAAAATGCATATATACTCGTGTTGGCTGGGGTAAAAAGGCAAATTGCGGGCAGTGGAACTAGCCGGCCGGCGATGAGGTGGGGGGATCAGACGAGGGAACAGGGCGATTTAATTTACGCGAACAAATTTGATCGGATAGGAGGAGTTCCTCATCAAAAAATGACGTTTCTTTCTGAAAAATTATCATCATTATGCACAAATGAAAAAATTCAACAGAAACGCGGATTCCATAGAAAAGTCTATTTAATTTCTTATAAATTCTATTGAAGAATTCAGCAGCTTCACTGCGCATTTTTAAAACAAAAAGTCCTATAAAAACTGTATTATAGAAAAAATAAATAGAATTTCATCTTTCTATATATGGCTATACGGAACCCAAATTTCCTCAGGAATCGAATGGAATAGGTTTT